TCTCCCTGTCTCAAAACTTCTTTCTAAACCAATTCTCCATAAAATGTGGTTGTAGAGACCACCTTGAGACCTGCAATCAGTTGGTTTCAGTAAAAGGGGGAGGGCAGAGTTCAGTCAACCATGTCAACATTAGTCGGTGTGTGACCCTCGATTCTTCTCCTTTCTCTTCTCTTTTGAGCCATTAAAAAAAGAAGAAGAATTTCCCCTGTGTATATGTAGAGTAAGTGCTCAGATGAAACCTTAACGTTTCAATTTAAAAAGCAGGTTGTTTTCTAGACACAAAACTAAGTACACTGGGCAACCCCTATTCCGACCTGCCTTGGTCCTGGCAAAGCTGAATTTTCTGGAAGGTAATTTTCATCAATTGGCTGATTTCTGTAGCCCCTTACACGTGGCAACTCGAGGTTGTCATAGAGGCGGTGCCTCCATATTTTGGGAGGCTGTTGTTGTTGTGTGCTGTTGAGTCAGAACTTCTGGATTTCAACTGCCTACCTATGTAGTTAGTAGTCCAGTGCTTACTCTACAGCACCACAGTTGGACTACATTGTTGATTACCAGAATTCTCAGCTGGGCACACACTTGTCCAGATTCCATTTGCTCATTGCAGACATGTTTCAGACATGTGCACTGGAATGGGACCGGGGTTGTTCATTTCCCTTTCGCTCTTTGTTCCTGACAGCCCATGAAAAATAGGAATCATTTTTGCGTGTGGCTTCTGTGATCAGTAGCACTTTTTTGTTACTGAGTGTACAGGAAGTATATGGCCCAGTGCTTGGTGCTTGGCATAGTATAATCTCTGCAGTGTTCTGTAAGGTGGATAATTGTTGCAGTTTTACAGTTCAAGACCCCAAGGCACTAAGAATTAAATAATTTTCCCAAGATCACACCACTAGTGAGAGACAGAGCCAGAACTCACTCCAACACAGTATGGTCACATACTACTGAAAATGAAGAAGAAGCAGAAGGAAAAAAAAAAAAAAGGAACTTGGGCAAAGCGATGGAAGTGGTTAAATAAAACCTTTGGGTATAAAGTAATTTGACCTAGGTGGTGAGTTGGAAGGCTTTTAGATGTGGTCTGAGTAATTCCTTCTCTGAAGTCAACCACAATAACAGTTTATTTCTGGTTTCTCTGCCAACTGCGAATCCTTGGTTACTTCATTTTCTAGCAGTTGGAATTAAGTGACCGACCTAAAGGGCCCTAAGAGTTAATAGCAGATTCTAGTGTTCAAATTTACAGTTTAAAAGTAAATGTTCTGTTTTAGGCTTGCTGGAGGGGGGAGGGGGTCCTCGTCTGTGTTTCAGGGATACAGTTTATATAGTTTTATTTTGAGAGGGCACCGGCTTTGGTATATGAAGAGCTAGCTGACATTGTGTACAAGCAAAAGAAGTTCATTTTAAAAAGCAGAATTGCTGTAAAGAACAAATGTCTGACTCAAATTTAGGTTAGAATTCAGCTTTCCCTCAAATGTTTATAGGCTTTTTAAAAATTTAATTAAATGTATTTTTCTCAATTGAAGAAATTGGTCTACTGTTGGTGGAAATAGGGCAAAAAGTAATTTTCAGCAGAAAAGAAGAGGGTTTTCCCCAAATGGGATGTTGTGGTGACGTGGGATGCCATTGTTCTAACTGGATACTCCCTTAGCACTGGAAGGACCTTTATTCTTTACTGGACCCAGATTTCAGGAATCATATGTGGGGAGTTTTGTGGTGTGCCATTTTACAGAAGAACTGATGCATTTGAATTGTTGTGTTGGAGAAGATTATTGAAGGTACCATGGACTTCCAGAAGAAAAAAAACCCCAACCAGGTCTGTGTTTAGAAGCTAGGGTGGTGAGACTTGGTGTTTCATATTTCAGACATGTTATCAGTAAGGGCCAGTTCCTGGAGAAGGACATTTTATGTGGTAAAGTGAAAGGTCAGCGAAAAATAGGAAGACCCTCAATGAGATTGATTGGCACAGTGGCAGCAGCAATGGGTACAGGCATAACAACAATTGTGAGGATGACGCAGGACGGGGCAGTGTTTTGTTCTGTTGTGCAGAGAGTCACTATGAGTCAGAACTGACTCGGCTGCACCTAACACCATAACTAAACATACTTGTACGGAGTCTATAGCTCCAAAATCAAGTTGCTGCTTCATCTTGTCTACTCATGAGTGTGGCAGTAGCCAACTTGAAGGACGCATGTCTAGACCTCCATAAATGTGAGGTAGCTTTAGAGGGAAAAATTAAAACATTGGCTTACCCTGATCAATGGACATGTCATATATGAGCAGGAATCTCTCAGGATGTCAGAATCACTTGTGAAATGAAACTGGAATGTCACATTAATACTGAGGGGCATTTGTTAGAGGACCTCAAGGGAGAAATAGCTGAGGCTATAGCAAAATACTGTAATTTATCATCTTTATGAATCTTTAGTCTCCAGGCCTGGAGACTAGCCAATATTGTACCATTTATGTAGGAATTCAAAAGGAGAATGGTTGATCTACTAGTTATAAATCAGTGGGCTTTGACTCAGTTCTAGAAAAAGTAATAGATCAATGTATGGGAAGTAAGTTTTTTAGAGTATACTCAGTTATCTTTGACTACCTGCAGAATACGAGCCAAAATCCAGACTGTATTTATTTCCATTTTAGGGAATCCTGAGTGACTTGGAAGGTAATGAGGAATCACTCAGTATATTTGTTATGATTTACTGGAAACTGTCTTAGGACAAAAGGAACCCTGGTGATGCATTGGTTAAAACGTAGGTTGCTAACTGAACCTCGTTTGGTGGTTTGAACAGTCAGCTGATCTGACAGAAAGTGAAATGTCAGTCTCTCGTCATAAAGATTACGGACGCGTTGGAAACCCTATGGGTCAGCTTTTCTCTGTCATATAAGGCTGTTATGAGTCATATAGGGCTGTTAGGAGTCAGCATCGACTTGATGGCAATGGGTTTTAGGTCCTAGGGCAACATTTACAAGACAATTAAGGAAATAGAAGGGGAAAAGTCTCATCTCAGTCCTAAACCAAGTTAGCAGTCATGTAGCAAAGGGCAGAGATAACCAAATTTACTATAGAAAGAAACTAACAAGATGTCTTTGTGTTTAATAGAAGAAACCGTTTGAACCACAGGGTTGGTGGTTCAAAGTCCCCAGTGGCTCCTTGGAAACCCTATATAGGGTTGCTATGAGTTGGAACCTACTGGCCAGTACTTAGCCACAGCAACATTCACCCATGGGGGAGTCATGGTTTGGTACTGAAGACAAGCACTCGACCATAAGGTCAGCTTGAACTGCAAGATCGGTGGTTCAAAATCACCAGCTGCTCCTCAGAAACCCTATACAGGGTCACAATGAGTCAGCACTGACTCAGCGGCACTTAACAACAACAATCACTTATGGAGTCCTGGTGAGGTACTGTAGAATAAGCTCTCTACCATAATAAGGTCAGTTTGAACTGCAAAGTCGGCAGTTCAAATCTACCAGTCATACTCCTTGGAAACTCTATATAGGGTCACTATGAGTCAGAAACGACTTGATGGCACATAACAACAATAACAATCACACCAGGACTGGTGTGGCATGGTAGGATAAGCACTGGACTGCTACTAGAAGGTTGGTAGTTCAAACCCACCAGCTGCTCCTCAGAAACCCTATAGGGGTCGCTGTGAGTTGGAACCGACTCAACGGCACTTAACTACAACCACCACTTATCTGGACCAGAAGAACTGAGTGCTGAAAAACCAGCGTAAAACTTTTCTGCTTTCCTAAGATTGAATCCCTTTTTTGTTTCAAGTACAATGTCAGAGTTTGGAGGAGGTGACTTTTGAGTCTATGGCCATGACTTTTAGCCATACAGTCTGTAACCCACCACTCCCAACAAATAATTTTACTGAAATCCACTATCAAATTCAAGATGGTCTTTTAGCCAGACCAGAAAGACTGCTGACTGTGAGCCACCCGTTCCTCCAGCGTTTACTAAAAGCCTTGCACCTTCACGCCGTCAGCTGCACACTAAGGAAGGCCTAGACAGCAGCTCTGCCTGTGCTAAGGAGCATGCAATTTAGCTGGGGAGACAAACTTTAATACTAGAGCCAATAAAAGAAGATTACAAAGTAACCGGCAAGTAAGTTTATAATAATATGGGAAACACGACACAGATAACTGCAGTGAAGATATGGAGGAGGGAGCAAAGCCCCAGAAGGCATGTTGCCTCACAGTTGTAAAGTCCCCACGCCGCCACGCATGCATGTCCCTTTCTGTAGCTTTGGTGAGAGGAGATGTGGGAGATTCACAATTCAGATGCACGGCCTTGGTCTTTGCCTACTCATCTGCTAAGTCTGTCCATAGATCACAGATGGAAATGAGGTTGACTCAACAATGTGCTCTCCACAAAGCCATGTTGGTCTCTACCTAGTAATTTATGCTCTTCTTGGTGTTTGCAAATCGATTGGTATTATGGGATGTAGACAGATCTGGGCCTGGATCCAATAGGTTGGGGGATTATTGGAGTGGGTATGTGTGCCGGCACAGGAAATCCTGGAAAAGCAGATTCTAATTTCTATGTATTTTGCTCATTGAATAAAAACATATTCAGGTTGTTGTTTTTTTAAAGCACGTTTAATTACAGTCAGATTGCATTTCTAGGGAATGCTGTATTTCATATTACTGCCGACAGGCCTTGATATTTGCCCAGCCTTCAAGCCACCTTCACTGATTTTGTAACCATAGTCCTTTGTTTCAAAAAAAAGCTTTGCATTTATCCCAGGCCTGTTACAGAGGACTGCTTTTATTGTATTATTTTCTTTTGACAGAGAAATATGTATAGACATTCATCTAGTTTGATCAATAAAAAGGTTGCTACCAAATGTCTTGGGAAAGTAAACTTGATTTAAACACTCAAGTTCATTGTACCTTTAAGGGGGAATTTTTTTTTTTTTTAAAGTTCTTTAGAGGATTGTGAAAGTCTTTCAAAACAAATTAAAAAGAAAACATTTTCTATGATTTCTTTACAGATTCTGGACAATCAGGAAGTCCAAGCCACAATGATCCTGCCAAGAACCCCCCAGGTAAATATGTGTCCCAGGACGTTTGCAATCTGACATTGTTGGAGAACAAAGGCACCACTGTATAGATAAACAGCCCATAATTGGTCAGTTGCCTATTTTGTTCTGGCAGGCAGGTCTGATCGGGACAAGATGTGATTCTGTTTAGGCCCTTTGCAGTGACAAATACTTCCATATTGGCGTCATCCGTATTTACCTAATCACCAATGTGTTTTAATCTTTGTTGGTGTTTCTTTGTAAATGACTATGCATGTATTTTGGTGCTAGATGCTAAAAGTCATGCTGTTTGAAATTCCCACTCCTCCCTACAGCATACACACACACACACACACACACACACACACACACACACAAATAAAACCTTTAAAGTTTTCTTTGAAAATTCGTAAGAAAAAGTAAGTTTTTTCCATATTCTTATTACAGTTTATCAAATTTCATTACTCTAAAAAGGGTGGGGTGGTTTGATTCCCCCTCCCCCATGGAGGTTTTTGAAAAAGAGTTTTTATTCCTTGAGGCTTGTATTGGATCCCCAGAATCAGGAAATAATGAAAGTAGGACTTTTGCTTTAGTATAATGTATGCCAAATACCCTCTTTATTTTCAAAAGTTACTCCAGATCTGAAAATGGGCTTTAGTCACTTGGCTGTCTGCAGTTTTGTTGCTATAAAATCTGAGCATCCAGCATTTTGCTTTTGATTTAGGAGTAGTGTTTTTTCTCATGAGGTGAAACAAACACAAAGAAGAGTGTCTAACATTTCATTATTGCACGAATCTTAATTATATTTGTGACTTGATAAAAGAGTGTGAAAGGAATAAAATAACAAAAACAAAACAAACAAAAAAGCCCAAGTCGGTGAAATATGCCCAAACTGCCTCTCCCAATTCGCTTCAATCTTTTATTTGAAAACAAATCAAAAGGTTTAGGAACTGTATTATTAATTATTTCCTCAGGTAGACTTAGTTTTGGGGCTCTCTCATTGTTTCATCTTCCTTGGCATAATGCTTAGATAATGTAAGGTTTGAATATTTTAAGAATCCCCAAAATTACAGGAAATGATGTCAGACTGGTCTTATTTAAACTGTTACCATAAAGATACAGTAAGTAGAAATGCAAGTAAAAATGTTAAGCCAAACAAGAATATGTTTTTTTGTGTCTGAGTCTTGCCTAAATTTTCATTTTTACCACAGACAATTAATTTTTTTCCAACTTGGTCTATAGTCTAAAAAATTATATTGTTTGAAAAGTTATCTTAACATGCTTAAAATGTCCTGGTGTGATGCTGTGGGTTAATACGCTGGACTGCAAAGTCGGTTTGAACTGCAATGTTGCCTGTTCAACTCACCAGCTGCTCCGTGGAAACCCTATACAGGATCGCTATGGATTGGAACCAACTCGACAGCACTTAACAACACCAACAATTAAATACAGTTTAAAATGTGAATTAAACTGATTTTTAATTTTTCTACACAATGATTTATTGCTATACCAAACTGATAACAAAACATTAAAAAAAACCTCTGACATTTTAAATGTAAGTACCAGTAAAATGTATTATTTTAATTTTTATGTTCTATAGTAGGAGAGTAGAATGTCAGTTATTTTTCCAGAATGACATCTATTATTCCAAATAAATTCTGTAAGAAATTTCATTAATGTGTAAGTCTTTTAATTCTAGAAATATTTCTTCTTCTTGGTGATTGTCTAGTATTTTCTCTATATGCCTGATTTCAAAAAGTAAATTATTCCCAAATATTTTATAAAAGCCTCTTCACTCATTTTACAAAGAACGGAGACAAAAAATGAGTAGAAGAAAGATTTGATAAGTATTTTAAGTCAGATGAAACAAAGGCTATGTTCTTTGTATTTGAATGACAGCTTGATTTGGAATTAATAAATCTGTTAATTGTTTAGAATGCGTTTCTGAACATGTGCAGAAGGGAAATGTGCTCACCTAAAGGTGTTCTTTACTTGAGCTGAATGAGTAATCTTTGAGTAGTTGTATAATGCCAGAATTTGATTTTTCAATATTTGTCAAGGAGCTTAGTTAAATTGGTCTTTTGCTGGTTTCAGCGTGTTGTTGTTGTTGTTAAGTGCCGTCGAGTCGGTTTCGACCCATAGCGACCCTGAATAGGGTTTCCGAGGCTGTAAATCTTTACGGGAGCAGATCACCTCATCTTTCTCCTGCGGAGCAGCTGGTAGTTTCGAACTGCTGACCTTCCGGTTTGCAGCCACTACACTACCAGAACTCCTTGGTTTCAGCGTAGTATCTTTTAAATGATCTTTGCCAGTAACATGGCAAACAGAAACAAGCTATCAGGGTAGAACAACCTCTCAATATTTTTTCTCTTTTAAATTTTCCTTGGAAATAAAATCCTTTTAAAAGCTATATCTTAGAACTGAATGTATAGAAAAATAGCTGTTATAATTACTGGGAAATTATATATATGTTATACATTTAAATTTTTTGAATATAATAAGATATATATGCATATCAAAATTAAATGTAATATAATTAGAATTTTCTATGATGATTTAAAGAGCTCTGATAAGGTAGTTGGTTACAGGTTGGGTGGCTAACCCTAACATCAGCAGTTCAAATTTACCACAGAAGAAAGCTAAGGGTCCTTTAAAGATTTGCAGCCATGGAAATCCTTTACTGGGTCTATGACTCGGAACCAGCTTGACGGCATGTAACTACTACCACTCATGATGGTGTGTATTCACTCCATCATTTTAACATGTACATTGCATCATTAGATTACGAGTTTAACCACAGCACTTAGTAAGGAATTCTGATTGAGGAAAGTGAGACCACTTGTTTGTTCTACAATACGTTCAATTAAGAGAAGTCGCTAGAAATATTATCTTCTATTTTTACATGTGAAAAATCAGAAATGCTGGTGATATTTTGTTTGTTTGTTTGTTTGCCATCAGTTGGAATAAAGCACACTATTAAGAACTCCTTCATCAGTGTAAGCAGCTTTGGTATTTTGGAGGATGGCTAATCTTTAGGAGGTTTGTTTCTTTGTCTCTGCATTGGCCTTGCCTCAAATGTGAAAGTGCCAAAGTTGAGATTCAGTATCTTGGGAAGAAGGCACAATCCAATTAGAGGTAGATTCAGTCTTCTGCCCCAAGTGAAAACACAGCAAACCAGCCAAACCACCTTGCTACTTGTATTATTATAACAAGGAGAAACTGAACTTTGGAAAAAGACCTCCTCGATGCTAAGCATTTTCTTACCTCTGATCATTTTCTACTAGGAGATGTGCAGCCCATGGAAATTGTTCCTATCCACCCTGTGTTTATTTCTTAACAGCTTGGGAAGAGATGGCAACAATTCAAACCCTTTCAGAGATATGGGCTCTTTCGAATCTGTTCCCCCACTGATGACAGCAAGGTGGAATCCCATCCAATCACCCCAGAAGTGCAAAGGCATATGTCTTCCCACAATGCCCTTTGCTTGGCTTTTCTCCACCCTCAGACAGGATTGTTTGACTTAGAAATTCCAGCCTCTCAATTCACATGAACTTCTGGGGGTTGACATTAATACCTCTCATACAAGTCATTTAGGGCTCTTGATTGGGATTAATACTTAGTGAGCAAACTGAGTACAAGCAAATAAAAGCAACTCATTTTTTAGAGAAGGATATTTGATAGTTTCAATTTTTAAAAACATTTAGGTAATATTTTTTGTTATTTGTTACCTTAGAAAGCATTTAGCTAAAATAAAATAGTCTTCTACACAGAACCCGGGTGTGATGTGGACTGCTAACCACAAGGTCGGCAGTTTAAACTCACCAGCTGCTATTGGAAACCCTATATAGGGTCTTTATGAATTGGAACAAACTCAGTTGTGCACAACAACAGAACAACATCTATTTTTAAATCCTGGGTATTTAAAATGATTAATGAAGTCTACTGTTTGCCCAAAAACTGGAAGTTCATGGCCACCCATCTCCACTTTAGTCCAAAGACTTGGCATTGAAAAGTCATTGTAGAAACCCTAATCTAGCACTCATGGAGTGGCTGTGAGTTGGAGTCTGTTCTTTGGAACTAGCATACTGGTTATTATTTTTGAAAGCACTTAAATGATCTTCCTGGTATTTCCTTATGCTACTTAAGACTTCATATTTTGTTTTTACTTTCAGTGAGAAGGCAGAGATAGGCTCAGTGATCTTTTCAGTGGCAAAGACCTGTAAAAGTCTGAGTCCAGCACCAATAGATCCAAGAACTTGACCTTATTCTTTCTGTCAAGAAGCTATTGCTCATTTCATTTTGAAAACAATGACCCAAATTTCCTTTGCTCGTGATAGAAGTTATATTTTTTTATTCAGCTGTTTTGTGACTATCAGATCAATCCCTTGTTTAGCATATAATCAGAAGTTACTATGTTTACATTCAGGTGCTTTGATAACAACAAATTAATAGTACTACAAGAGTTATCTCTCAACACAGCATCTAACTCTTGTGGCTTAAACAAGGGAAAACCATTCACAAAGGTGTTAGACTTGGATCTCATTTTATTGGTCATAATTGAAAACTCTACCGTTCCTTTTAGGAAATGTGTGATTGCATTGCAGTCTGGTACAAATGAGCATCAATTTGCTCTTTTAGTTCATGTCTGCACATTCATGTAGATTTCCCAACTTTTATCACTTGCTGGAATGGGTGGTATACAAGGAAAACCAAGACAATTTGTTGTTGTTATTAAGTGCCATAGAGTAGGTTCTGACTCATAGCGACCCGGTATAAGGTTTGTGAGGAGTGCTTGGTAAGCTTGAACTGCTGACTTTGTGGTTCAAACCAACCTTGCAGTCCAGCACGTTAACTGCAGTGCCACACAAGGACTCCAAGGCAATCTATTTTTGCCTTTAAGTGTAGTCCAAGCTGATGCCTCATTTTGGAGTCCAGGAAGGCTGTTGTTTTATGTGGACCTCTGTCTTAGTTGGAAATTTAACAAAGACACATTAATCTTGGGGTTCCCAGAGGGATGATGCCACTTT